AAACTAGGGCTCTGATACCAACTTGTAACGACCCAATTTTCACATCCAAAAATTTCATTTTTAATTAAGTGATTTGCTAAACATTTGTAAGAAAATATCAACCGATCATATCATTTCATAAAAAACATGTTTCATGTCTGAAAATCGAATCATAAAAACATAATAATATCCGAGTACAAATCCCAAAATAACTCATAGTGCGGAAAACAATGCGAGTGTATGATGTGCAGCTACCGCACCAGCTCCTTCCCTTTTGATGAAGAGGTACCTGAAACCAAAATTGTAAACTGTAAGCACGAAGCTTAGTGAGTTCTCCCATCATACCACATACCATACAATAACATACATACATATAGCCCAACAATTCAGGGGTGCCTGACCTACCCGGTACGGCCATTCTGGGGTGCTGACCTACCCATGTGGTTATTCTGGGGTGTCGTTCTACCTGTTTCAAGCCATTTTGGGGTGCTGACCTACCCATGTCAAGCTATTCTGGGGTGCTGACTACCCTTCGGTCTTAACAACCGAACCTCGGGGACTATTCCACCCCTACTACTACTACTACTATCACATATCCTAGCATATCAGATTATTAGACATATCTGGGGTGTCTGAACTACCCTTCGGTCCTAACAACCAAACTCGGGGACTGTTCCCCACCTACTACCACTAAAACATATAACAAATCATGCCAGCATATAAACATATCATCACACACTGTTAGATGTATATGGGGTGTCTGACTACCCTTCGGTCCTAACAACCGAACTCTACTACTCTCACGTATATCATATCATGCTAGCATATAACATATCAGGTAGTAGCAAACCTAGATGATATCACAAAGACAATCATCTATCATATGACTCCTACTGGTGGGCCGGCATTGTGGCCTTAAACCCATCGCTACTGGAAGGTAACTCAACTCGTAGTAGCTGCTGATCTGTGCGAGAATCCTCTGACTGCTACCACTGCTGCTCCGGAAATCCTCTAGCTATAATTCCCATAAAACACTTAGTCATACACTGCTAACTGTTCTTAGGGTAAAATGACCATTTTACCCCTGACCAAGTCAAAGTCAACTTCCAGTTGGCCTGACTCGCCGAGTTGGTTCGCCAACTCGGCGAGTCCCTATCCTTCCATTTGTCCTTATACCCGTCTCTACTCGTCGAGTTAGGTGATGACTCGACGAGTTTTCCTTCTAATTGAACATCGACTGAATCTTCATCCGACTCGCCGAGTTGTATGAACAACTCATCAAGTTCATCTTCAACTGATAAACAGGTCTTGTCCTTGACTCGCTGAGTTGTATGAACAACTCATCGAGTTCATCTTCATCCTTAAGAAGATTGCCTTGGACTCGCAGAGTCTGTTCATGCACTCGCCGAGTCCCATTAATACCGTTGTTCATGATTTTTCGTCCTCTTTCTATAGAGATTCATAATGATATATAAAAAACGATCCTTTTTTCGAGAAAAACTCACTTGATTTTCTTTGTTGAAAGCTAAGGTTTACTTTTTATAGAAAAAAAATTAATAAATATATCAAAATTCATACTTTTTGGTATTTTTTAAACATAGATTCATATTCATGTAAAAAACGATATTTCAGTTTAGATTCATTTTGTGAACATGTTCATATTCATATTGTGAGCCTGTTAATATTCACATTTTGAACCTTCTCAGATTCACAGTGTGTATAATAGTAAGTCAGATTCACAATGTGAATCTGAACTAATCGAGTTTTTTCACATTGTAAATGTTAAATATTGAAATATTTATAGTTTAGATCCACAGTGTAAATGTATACTAATGGAGGTTTTTTTAGTCAGTGTTGATGCTTATTAATAGAGTACAAAAAATTAACTTTTTTGGTATAATTAGTTTTTTTTTTTATAAAAAAATAAACTTAAATATTGAAAAAACTAAAAAAATGAAGTGGGTCTTTTTCGAAAAAAAAGTTTGTTATTTATATATCAACATGATCTCAATGGAAAGATGACGAAAAATCGAAAACAATAGTATATTCAGGTTTTTTATTCGATAAAAAATGTGGCCTAAAAAAATTTAAACGAAAAAAATAGGTGAGTTTTTGGTAAGGAGATTGATTTTTTGTATAATCCGGTGTGTGTGCGTCCAATGTACAAGTGCACATCTATTTCATTGGCCGTTGATCATTATGATTTCCGTTGCTCACGATTGTTTCCTTGGTTCTTTGTTAATTATGGTTCTCTATTCAACTTCACTCTATATATATATATATATATATATATATATATATATATATATATATATATATATATATATATATATATATAAGATTATGTTAATTTGTTTTTACTAACTATTGTGTGCTACAATGTACAGATCTAGACTAACGGATGAAATTAATCAATAGATATGATTTGAAAGTGTATCATATTACAATAGGATAACATGTACCATATAATCACACAAATTTTAGCAAAATGGTATTTTAGACAATTAACTACATTAATAAAATGAAATTTTCATATTTTTAGGAATAATTAATTCTCCTAAATTTAAAAATCTGAATTTTATTAATTAATTCAATTTTAATTCTAACGTAATTTGTAAACATAACCGATTTTATTCTGTCAGAATGTTTTTTTTGTTAGAATGATGTTTTTTTAGAATTTTATTCTATTGGAATACTATTGAAGAATAGCAAAATTCTTGAATCTGATGTTGAAAAATAACAACATTCTAATATATTCTTATACATCCAAACTTAAATACAAATTCATACATATTCTTACAGACTAAAAGTCTTACACATTTTAATATAATTATACATATTCTAAAAGAATATCAACTAAATTGAATAAAGTTTTTAAAAAATAACAACATTTTTAAATTGTGAGTATCATCAAACTTTATTCATTATTCAGGTTATTTCTATTAGGTCTTCAATGCATTCTTCCAGCCATTACTATCAGAAATACAACAAAAACTAATAATGGTTAAAAACATGTTAGTTGCAATTAACTATCGCTTTATATATTTTGGTAGAATACATAGAATATGACAGAATATATAGAATACATTCTGGTAGAATTCATATATTTTATTCTGGCATAATACATTCTGACAGAATACATAGAATACATTCAAAAGTATCGTATTTACTTTTAATATAATTTTAGATTTTAAATATACAATAGCGAGAGAGTATAGAAATTAGAATTCAAAATCAGAAATTGAACCAAAATAATACACAGACAAATTAATTACCTTTTTAAACAATTACATAAAACATGTGTTGCTGGTAATTCTGACAGAATGCATACTAAAGTTAAATTCTTTATATTCTCTTTCAAGCATTTCAACAAACACTTGTTAGACATTATCATCAAACAAGCCAAAATTCATCTAAAACAATTAATAAAGTTAGAATAATTATGTGGGTGCTACGTGTATATGAACAAAGACCATAACACTTATAAATAGACAAAGAAATAATCAAAAAAGATGTTAAAAATCAATATGCGTAGAACATATGCAATAAAATCATTTAATCCTAAAATTGCAATGAAAAAAGATGGAATCTTATATATGTAGGTATTTCATCGAACATTTATAGGGTAAAAAAATTATTCAAAATCTCAAGAGTGTTGGTTGAGTTGGACAATTCATCAAACAATTGGTGTGAAAAATAAAATACTATTCCAAATAATAAATAAATCTTTGAATACAACCACATACACAATTCTAAAATACTATTGATATAGTAAATTTATTAAGTCATAAATCATATACCGAAATGCACTGGTTAACATTGAAAGAAAATAATTAAAAACTTGAAAGTAAATAAACAATGGAAATGCTCCCTAATCAAAATTAAAATGGTTCGTTAATTACAAGTAGAAATCAAAAAAAATAAATACATAAATAAAAAAAAAATTGAACTCTGTGATATAAGAATTATTCGAGTAAAGAAACATAGACACTAAGCTTTTCTGAATAAAAACAAGAATGAGAAAAGGGTCATCACTGCAAGCGTTGCTGGAGAGGAGGCATCGAAAACAGGAGGTGGAGGCGTTACTAGAGATGAGGCATCGATGGAACGTTTTTGTCGTGCAAGGGGAGAGTTGTTGGAGGATGAAAGAGCCGTCGGAAGAAGAAGCGAATGTTCTGTCGATGCAAATGAATGAAATAGGTTATTTTTAGGGTTTTAAAGTATTGATTTTCTTTCCTTAATTGTAGTATTAAATTAAATAACCTCATTAATTGTAAATACAAAAAACCGAAAATACCCTTATTCAATTTAATTTATTATTTAATATTTATTAATTTGTGACTGGTGCATACATGCACACAATAGTTGCTAGAAGTATTTGAACCTAGCTCTTTCTCTCTCTCTCTCTGTATATATATATATATATATATATATATATATATATATATATATATATATATATATATATATATATATATATATACATATATATAGGAAAAGTGAATATACCCTTAAGGGTTTGTAAACTTAGGTACCCAAACTCAACATACTACGTCGTTTAGTATCATATAATACATTCTAATTATCCGATGTTCTTATAATTTAACTTCTAACTTGATTTACTTTCATGATTTTTATAAATTACACATTTATATTCCACTTACATAATTTTCTTTTTTAAATACAATATATATAGCCTAGTAGGTGTTTGACAAAAAAAATATGATATAAGACTATAAGAGAAAGATAACTGTAAAATTTTGAAAATGTTGAAAGTAAATCAAGTTATTGATTGAAGTTTAAAAGCATTATAATGAATATATCAAACAAAACGACGTATTATGATGTGTTTGGGTACCTAAGCGTATATACCCTTAAGATTATATTCACTTTATATATATATATATATATATATATATATATATATATATATATATATATATATATATATATATATATATATATATATATATATATATTTCAGTATTTGAAAATTATAACTTATAGATTCTAACTTAATCATCAGAACAAACATTTGGATTCCCAGTTCCTTATTAAAACAAACATGTAGAAACTTGACCATAAAGCATGTTAGCTTGAAATGGAGAATATAAGATACAACTTGATTTGTACACCTCCGTCAAGAATCCTTTCCGTTTATCACAAATTAATAAGTTAGTGTCATGAAAAACCACTTTGTAATTATATGTTTTTTTATGCAACTGAACCGGAGACTAGAATGATGTCAATTAGACGAAAAAAAATCAATTTTTGTCCCACCCAAAAGATGCAACAAGATAGGAAAGAAGCTCCCTCTCTATTTGTGGCCCATGCAAGAGATGTGAATGCTTTTCTGATCACCATGCCTCTCATAAAAAATAGACAACTCCACATGTTAATATCTGCTTTTCTTACTTCACATGAAACATAGCACGAAAAATAGATAAAAATCACAATAACAAAAACAAAAACAATCTACACCATCAAAGCACCAAAATAAGTTCTTACTACTACTCAGAAGCACTTCCTGTGGACAATAGATTGACCAGATTCGTCATACTCAGCCTTGGAAATACACATCTGATTCACACACAAGAAAGTAAGTTAGTCAAATGTTTGTAGGGAAAATTATGAACTAAAATTTCTTACTTTTCTTACTAATATTGGGTATGCACTAAAATTTATTTACACATGGTAACAAGATGTAACAAGTGAATTACATTACGGATATTGGTAGCGGAATATAGATACGTTGTTATTTTTGATAAAATATAAAGTAACGTTGCAGTTATTAGTAGAAACAAATTGAAGCACAATGTTATTATGTGTAAAAGAATATAAGTTTTTGCTAGTGTGAGTATAAATTAAAGTACATTGCCCGTATTGGTAATGAACGTGAAGCATACGACTTTTCCAATATTCTTTGTAATGTACTTATATTTCTTTACCCATAATAGCAATGTAACGAGAATTTTAAATGATAATAGCAATATACTTACATTTTTTACACAAATAAAAACGTACTTACAATTCCTTACCAATAATAGCATTATAGTTACGTTTAAATACTCATGCAAACAATATGTACGAACCACCATGATACCGTTGGTATAAAAGTTAAACACACTATTTAACTTTTTCTTTATCCAGAAATTAAACACACTATCAGGGCTTTAATAATTTACCTGTTGGAAGGTGCTGAGAGATGCAAGCATTGATCCTCCTATCCACACACTGTATTTCCTTGCAGGTGGTGCAACCACATTGATCTTTATGCTGCTAGGGGCAAGGGCAGTGATTTCCTTGGTCATCCGGTCAGCAAAGCCTGGGAGTATCGTTGACCCACCACTAAGCAGAATATGTCCAAAAAGATGCCTCCTTAGATCAATATCACACTTAATGACAGAGTTGTAGGTCATCTCATGAATACCAGTAGCTTCCATTCCAATAACATTAGGCTGGAACAGAACCTCTGGGCAGCGGAATCTCTCTGCCCCAATCGTGATAAACCGCCCGTCGGGCAACTCATACTTCTTTTCAATAGAAGCGCTACTTTTTGCAGCTTCGAGTTCTTGGTTGTAGTCAAGAGCCACATATGTGAGCTTTTCTTTCAGGTCTCGGATAAGTTCTCGTTCAGTGCTTGTGGTGAACAAGTAGCCTCTTTCATTCATAATTCCCATTAGGTGATCTGTAAGGTCACTGCCAGCGAGATAAAGACGGAGGATGGCGTGAGGAATTGCATACCCTTTATAAATTGGGATCGTGTAAGACACTCCGTCCCCGGAATCCAACACGATACCTGTAAGAAAATATTATTCCTCACATTTATATATGTTCAATTGTTTTTTATTACATTAATATATTATATGTTCGTTTATGTTTATATATATATATATATATATATATATATATATATATATATATATATATATATATATATATATATATATATATATATATATATATATATATACACACATTCACTTGTGTTTGGTTATCTTTGTTCATTTATGTTCGTTTAAAATGTTCACGAATATAACGAATGAAGATAAACAAGAAAATTTGTTGATTCTATCATACCTAAGAGCATCTCCAATCCAATACCATACTCCATTTTTTTCCCCATTCTTCTCCAACTTCCCTCATTTATTCCCCAATTTTGGGGGATATGAATAACATTACACCAAATATGTCGTTATACTATTCATTTATCCTAAAATGGGGATGAACTTTGCATTATCCGTTTTAGTCCCTCTGTTTATATATTTATACATTTTTAATTCATTTTTACTACTAATTGTAATTTAAATATAATATTTAATACTTATAATATTTTGTTATATATTAAATTATATTAATTAATTATAAATATAAATTTTGTTTTTTTGTTCATCAAATTCATATAAATATTTAAATACATATTGAATTTTTAAAAAATGATAACCTATTTTAAAAAAACTTATAATTAAAAGTGTGTATGTCTTGTATTTATGTAAATGTATATATAATATTTATTTAAAAGTGTGTATGTGTAATATTTTTTATAAATACATATATAATATTCCCATATTTATTTATAAGTTTATTATAAAGATAATCTTTTCTATTTAATATTAATGTAATGAAAAAAATATAGATTATATATTTGTTAAGACTAAATTAATAGAGGGGTGTATTTGAGAATCTATGTAAGTTGGAATAAGTGAATATACTAGAAATATACATTTTGGAGATAAAAATGAAGTAGGATTAAAGATGAAACACTATTTTCCCTATTTTGTACTCTATTTTTGGGAGAAAAAATGGAGATAGGTAAATGCTACATAAGTATATTATTTTTATTTTAGTGTAAAAAAGTGTGAGGTTAACTTTAGAAGGTGGAGTTGCAACTTGCAATTGAGGAATGGGTTGAGAGATTAGTGATTTTTCTGAGATCGTTTTTCTCGGCTTTTGCAGTTGTCAATTATATTTTTCTGTTATTTTTCACTTGACAAGCAATTTCCCAATACCAAAATGCAAACAATGTAGATTATAGTTGATACTATATTAGCAATGCGAAACTAACCAGTTGTAAGACCACTTGCGTGCATTGAAAGCACACCCGCGATTGAAATGTACATGGCGGGAACATTGAAGGTCTCAAACATGGCTTCAGTCATCTTCTCTCTGTTTGACTTGAGATTTAATGGTACCTCCGTAAGAAGCACAGGGTGCGCTTCAGGAGCAACACGAAGCTCCCCATAGTAAGTGTGATGCAAAATCTTTTCCATATCGTCCCAGTTGCTGGCAATACCACGCTCAATTGGGTATTTCACAGTCAAAATACCAATTTTCGACATGGCTTCATCTCCTACATAAGCATTCCTCTGACCCATGCCCATCATAGCACTAGTGTGTCGCAGCCTACCCACAATACTAGGGAACACCGTCCTAGGACTATCATCCCCGGCAAACCCTGCCTGGAAATTTAATCAAAAAACAAAATCAACTCCAATTTGAGTAACCTTTTACCTAATTTATGCAACAAATTGTCTTGTAGACAAAATACGCAAACAACATTCCATTCTGAGACCGAAATATGCAAGACGATAAACAGGGTACCTCATACTTTATTATTTATAAATATTTCACCCTTTTACTATTTAATACAATAATGTTTGACTTGTTTAACCGTAGGGCTGACAATTCTCGATACGACACGCGACACGATCCACGACACGACACGAAATAAATGGGTTTCGGTTGAGTTTTTCAACCCACCAACCCGCTAACCTGCCAACCCGGCAACCCATTTATTAAACGGGTCATATATAAGTTTCTCAAAAAAATAAATTGGTTGATCCGCCAACCCGTTTATATTCTTAATAAAAAAAATTATTTTATTTTTAAATGTATTTATGTATCAAGTATTAATATTTAATAAGTATTATAAAAATATACCATTTATTCATAAATCATTTGACTGTTTTGACATTATGACTCGTGGCGAATGGTCTAATGTTATAAGTCGTAACCTATAAGACTAAGTTTCTAACATGTTTCTATGAATGTTTTTAATTTTCATTTGGATGTTTAAGACTTAAATATGTAAAATTCGGACCTATGAACCCAAATCTGACCCGCCAACCTGTCAAATCGCTTAAATAAATGGGTTGGTGGGTCATATATGAGTTTATGTTCCAAACCCGCCAACCCGTGACTTGTATATTTAAATGGGTTGTGTTTGGGTTGACATATTTTGACACGCCAACCCGTCAACCCGAACACGACACGATTGTCAGGCCTATTTAACCGGCACCTTTTACCCTCTTATAGGTTAAATATTGCATATTTTTGGTGATACGTAGAAACACGGTCACGTATTTCGTCTAAAAAACTAATTTCTTGCATAATTGACAAAATATTATGTGGCATTGCTTAAAAAAGCCTTTATCCCTTATTTAAATTCAAAAATACAAGAATCCAACTAACTCCAGAAAGTTTCATGCAACTAGGAAATACCAACATCATAAGAATAATGCTAACCTTCACCATTCCAGATCCAATGTCAAAAACAAGGGGCGGAATCTCCTCGGAGTCTGCCATTTATATAAACCTGCAACAGAAACATCAAAATTCCATAAATTTAGACAACAAAATCTTTGACATCCCCACTATTTTCCAGTTGTTTTTAGCTTGTTTTGCAAGAAATACGCAGCAAAAAAAATAATGATAAAAAAAATCCCAGTAGTATCCGGTAGATATTTTTCTACGATTTTCATACGGTCAAAAGAACCTCAAAAAAATCAAAGTTACCATGTACTACAATATCGATCTCGATGATCATCTCAATGGATCCTCACATATTTAATAAATATCGTGAAATCGAGAATGCAATTCAACAGATAGTAGATCCCACAGTATTTAAGAACAAAATACGGAATTTTTTTTTTTGCTTTGATTAAGAATGAAAAAAATAAAATAAAAGGATTTAAATTTAAATTAAAAAAAAAAAAAAGGAAAGCTTTTTCAATAAACGTTTTTTGGACCATATGAGCGCCAACTCAGCAAACCAAAACCTCAAAATATTTCCACAGTAATAAAGTTTTTTCACAAAGCTTTCGGGTCCTAGCAAAGCGAAAACCAATGGAAATTAATAAAATATTATTAGAACTATAATAAAGCTGTACTGAAAAGTTCTTTACACAAGCTAATTTGAGAAGCGTATTTGACTTGCTAATAAACTCCATTGTGAATGCACTGACGAGGTTCTACCAATGAAAAACAGATATTATTTACTATACTGTGAGAATGAAGCATAACGATTTCGATTGCATTTAAAGAGAAGATTCTATACGGATCCCTATTGAATATCAAGAGACTCAGATCGGAAATTAAAAGGGAAAAAAAACACCAAAATTACAAGATAATCGCATCAAACCTTTACTGTTTCAGATCGAAGAGGAAGCAGCAGAAAGCAATCTCCACTTGCCGGCAACTCAAATTCTAGGCTCGGGTTTGGTTTGGTGCTTTCGGTGGTTGCTTAAGGAATTAATTAGTAAGTATTAGGTAGAACATTTAAAAAACAAATGATTTTATATGCTTACTTGCTAGTTTGTTGGTTGCGTTGAGTTTTTATAATTTTTATAATATTAGTTTTCTAATTTTATTACTAGATAGGTATGATATCAAAAAACTTGTAGCGTAACAGTATTTAGTGTTGTCCTTTATTTTTGAAATTGAGTTTTCAAGTCTCATTGTGGATATAATCAAATCTACCTTCGCATGTGAACCCACGTTCGTGGTAACTAATATGGACTCGAAAATTTAATCACATGCTGCAAATGCCTATGAAAACGTTATGTAACTGAGTTTTTATTATTTATTCTCGTTTATTTTTTATTTTATTATTATTTTCATTAAAAAAAATAAAAAAATTTAAATAGATTTATGCTCGGTTTTAATGTTTTTTTTTCCTTTTTTTAAATTATTATTTTTTTCCTTTTTTTAGTTTTTGTTTTTAATTTTTTTAAATATCTTTACTACAAACTTAAAACTTAAAGCTCCTAGTGTTTTTATTTATTTTTGTTATTATTACTATTATTATTTTTTAAATTAAATATCATTTTTGAGTTTTTAGTGTTTGACAATTATAAAATTTTAAATTAGAAGAATATTAAAAATCAAATATTTTCCGTTCATATATTTTCTTAATCATATTATTTTTTGGATCAAAAAATTTTAATTAGATTATTTTGCATTGTAGTATTTTGAATCAAATTATTTTAGAATCATATGATTTTTTATTAATAATATATTCAAATAAATATGACTTTTGTTCAAAAAACAATTATGGATCATTATATATTTTGAATTATAAAAGATATAATTAAGGATTATAAAATATTTGAGTTTAAATAATTATAGATCATAACAAATTATGAATCATAAACAAATTAATTCAAAAGATTGTTTTGAATCATAAATATTTTGGAAAATATTATGCTCAAGTTTTTTTTTAAATAATATTTCTCAAAATAAAAAATAAATGCTTCAAAAACTTTTTTTAAAAATATATTTTTACAAAGTCACTACTATATTGACTAGAAATATTTTTAAATTTTTATGATTTTTGAAGAATTTTTATCTATGTCTTTTAATAAAAATAAAAAAATAAATTTTTTTCAAATTCTTATTATGTTCATTTTATAGAGAATTAAATTTTCATGATTGTTTTTATTTTTTCAGAATATATTTTCAAAGGAAAAGAAACCTTATGGTCAAAAAAGGAAGTGTGTGGAAAAAAAAAACCCAAACGAGGATTCTACATGTGACATAGAGAGAAAAAAAGGGGAAGGGGTGTGTGAGAGAAATCACATGGTGGAGGTGTTTTTTCTAGGTTCATTATACACATTTAACCTCTAATCAATTAATCTTCTCGGAAAAAGTCAAAATCTCCCACATAATTACAAAAATATAATATTATATTGCGAGATATTGATGATAAATAAATTCGAATCTCCACATTTTATTTTTTCAATCATGCAGGAAAGATTTGTCATCGTAGTCCTTAATTATTTTTGAGTTCTCACTCGATCCGACTTATATATATATATATATATATATATATATTATATATATATATATATATATATATATATATATATATATATATATATATATATATATGTGTGTGTGTGTGTGTGTGTTTGTAAATATTTTTATAAAAATGCATGTTTGTATATATTTATTTTCATAAAAATGTGTTTGTATACAAATATAGTTGTTGTAAAATAATTGTACAAAAAAATGTATAAAAATATGTTTTTATATAAAAAAAATACATAAAAATGTACAAATACATTTACTATGAAATAGGTGTTTGTATATGTATTTTTTTTTTATAAAAACTGTAACGTTCTAAAAATTCAAACCAATTTAAACTTTTCAAAAACAACTCATTTCATTAATTTATTATATAGTTGTTATAAAATAACTATACAAAAAAATGTATAAAAATATGTTTTTATAAAAAAAAAATACATAAAAATGTACAAATACATTTACTATGAAATAGGTGTTTGTATATGTATTTTTTTTTTTTTATAAAAACTGTAATGCTCTAAAAATTCAAACCAATTTAAACTTTTCGAAAACAACCCATTTCATTAATTTATTACAAAAAGGTTTTCAATTCATTCATTATCAGAGTATTTCCCAGAATCATATCAAAAGTACATAAAACATGAGGAGCGGTATGATCACGTCTTTGCCTTGCCACGGTCTCCTGAAGTACCTGAAACATAAAACCACAACTGTAAGCCCGAAAGTTTAGTGAGTTACCCCCAAAATACCAACCGCAATACCATAGACATATCATATCATAATCAAACAGAACAGCCATGCACTTCGAGTCTACTATGTGACTGTTCCACCGCACCGGGCCTTCAGTCCACCCGGTCCACCCTCCGAGTCTAGCCATATACATTGAGTCTACAGTGTGATTGGTCCGCCCGCACCGGGCTTTCAATCCACCTGGTCCACTCTTTGAGTCTACAGTATGACTGGTCCGCCCGCACCGGGCCTTCAGTTGGCCTGGTCCACTCCCCCGAGCCTCGGCATGTCTGGTCCGCCCTCTTGGGGCCTACAGCCTATCTGGACCGCTCGTTGGGCCTTCGGAACATCCGGTCCGCCCTGGGTATGTTGGCCTACAACACAAAGCAGGACCCGCCTCAACCCAACCCCAGACAACAACCATGTGCACATATACATATAATCATATAACAATTCATAACCCATCAATCCAAACTAGCAGATCACATAACATAGCACATCCCTACCAGGATACCCACCTAACCGGTCACTAGCATAACATCATCCTAAAACCCAGGATACCGACCCTAACCATGTCTCTAGCATATACCATCCTAATTACCAGGATGCAACATAGCAAAGCAATAACATAACAAACAACTCCTGGATTTCCATCCGATAAAGGGCCGGCCTTGGTGCCGTAGACCCTATCGATATAGTGAGGATAACTCCCCCCTGCAACTAACGGCTAAAGAAATAATATCACACTGTTCCAACCTCTGGCAAGAAACTCCTTCACTGGACAACACCAAATTACTGAACTCGGTAAATACCAGCAATTACTAAAATACCCCTGGAAGTCAACTCTTGGTCAAATTCAAAGTCCTCAGTCAAAGTCAAATTCCTGACTGACTCTACTCGCTGAGTCAACCCTTTGACTTGTCGAGTCCCCCCATGCTCTGAAAACTCCATATCGCGACTCAACTCGCTGAGTCCAACAAACTCTGAGTTCCTTCATGCTCAACTCACCGAGTCATCCCTCGACTCACCGCTTTACAACTCAACCACATAGGTTAGGACTCGTCGACTCGACTTGCCGAATCCAAGAACAGATTCGCCGAGTCCAAGGCTATCTTCAACAAGCTCGCCGAGTTGTTCTTCCAACTCGTCGAGTTCTTGTCTAACTTCATGCAACTCGCCGAGTACCACTAGTTCTCATTCCATACAGAGGCTTTCCAAGCCATAGAGGGGCTCCATTCCATAGATCTACTCTTATACAAGCCATCCATCATGTAAACTGGCAAACGTTACGTGAATCAAAAGATATCTAGGCATAAAACACTCTAGAGCTAGGGTTTGGGACAAGAAGGCTTCACCAACAACTCAAGGACAGGGACTTTATGCACTTCTGGATCATCTCTATTCTAGATCTAAGCTGGCAACCTCAGATCCAACCTCCAAACCCAAAATAACTCTAGATAAGCTCCCAAAAATTCTAGAATGATAGATCTAGAAGCTCAAAAGCTCAAGAAACGAATTATTACCTCAAAAGAAAGCTCCAACAGAAGAATGAACCAAATCTCTGCAAAGCCCCTTGCTCCAATCCTCATAATCTTCAAAGATCTCTTCACCAAGCACTTATCAAGGCTCCAAATGCTCTTCAATGCTCTCACAAATGGATATAGCTTTCTGGACTTCAATGGGAGCTAGGGTGACTGAGGGGAGGTCATTAAGTCCTTTAAATAGGGTACAACCCCGAAGATTATGGTTTTTCTCTCTTCAGCATGAAGTCCCCGAGTCCAGCCGCCGACTTGCCGAGTTAGCCACTTCACACGTGACCAGCCGTCAATAATCCACTTATTCTTTTCCTCCTCTTTTTGAAGTACCCATGCTTCTTCCGGAGCTACATGCCTTTCTTTTCGAGGGAAATCAACTCATCGACCCTTACCACAACGGTACGTGCCACTAAGCTACACTTCACTCTACATTATCCATGTACAGCAACTGCTATCCTCGAACTTCCATATACTCTGAATCTGCTCGCAAGGACTCTCGGGTCCTTGCACCGCTTCACACTAGCATGATCAATACTTGGGGGCCAGACCATATCAATTATCACCCCAGGTGACACTTTTCCTCATTTTCCTCGTACCTATTATGTCACACCCCCGAACAGGACAGCGGAAACATCCGAGGGATCTTGTGACTCGAATTGAATACCATCACAATGAATATACATGAATCATAACATAATTCAACACCATGCATTGGAATATTACAACTGATACTGTTTACATTCGGTACCTTGTCTTAGACATTACAATTCCATAACATAAACTGTCTGATAGATAATTTAAGCAAAACACCATGACATTTCCTGATACTTATTCTTCGGCTTACCTGTTACCTGAGAATACAAGTTATTTTGGAAAAACGTCAACATATGAAATGTTGGTGAGTTCATAAGTAATGTTATGGAAAAATGATTTTTGTGAAGTTTGAAAAACCCAGAAAATCCGATATTTTCTGAAAAGAGTATTTGTTTATAAAAAGTGTGAAGATCCGTAAATATGCTTGTCGATTTTTAAAACATGTATAATTGTTGAACTTTGTATACATCACATAGGTGAAAATGTTGAACTTCCCGGGAAAACTCGATGTTTTCCCAATACGTAAATTACATGACTTTTTTATTGTTATACCGATACGACAAATGTTTTTGATTACCCAGGTGACATTGGATTAATTAGGGTTTGTGAGTTGTTACAATCACGCATTAATGA